TTTATTGAGAATTTCATACATGCATATAAGGTGTTTTGATCAAATCCATGCCCACTCCCTCCCTCCAACATTCCTCCCTCTTAAGAGGTAATCCTAAAATCTTTTAAGGATTAGATACAAGCTCCTAAATACTTTTGACATTTTTGGCCTTTGGAACAAAGTATGTTGTTAAGAGGCCCAAGGACATTTTGACTTTTAGCCAAGAAACTGGCTACTTTCTTTGGAGTCTTTTTATCCTAACTGCCTAGCCAATTCCTAATTTTCTACATTTACACAGGATGTTTCATTTTTAGCTGCATGTGTCTAAGAAATGATTAAAGTTTGAGCAAGGAGGAGCTCAAACTAAAAAAGATGATACAATCAATTTGGGGGATAGCCTACCTCTGTATTAGGAATACCGCCTTTTCTAATATGTTTTAATTGATTTATAAAGGTCCATAGTAATATTAATGAAAGAGGAGAGAAAGGTTTCGAACCCGTGCATTCTCTACAAGCTGCTCCAAAGGCACTTTTAAGTAACACATTTTGGTAAAAAACAATTTTCATTAAAACCAGTCCTTCTGGTCCGCAAACTATACTGCCATCATTTTCTCTTCCTATGGAGAAAATAACGGATTACATTGGAAACTGAAATCATTTTAAAACATTAGAAATGCATTTGTTTTTGTACTTGAAATGAACTCACACATTATAAAGGACAATAGTATTGTAGTATGGTATGTCTGTTTAGAGGAATTTGAAATCTTACTATTAAAACCATAAACCAGAAATTTTCCAACCTTTTTATTCCATTATTCTATAATTGAAATTTTCAATTCAGGATGGAGAGCTCTTTACTCAGCCACAACCTCTTTTCTGAAGAATGTTTTAGGATTTATAGGGTGAGAGTCAGATCTTTTGGGTTCCAGAGATGTGTATCATCTTACTCCACAGCAAAGCAAAAGAAAAAAAAAAAAAAAGCCTCAAGAGGTCATGTAATGCTGAGGGTTTATAATTAAAAAGAACTCAAACAGTGAAAAATTGTGATTGATGTGATTAGGAAAGAACTCAAAGAAGTAAAGAAAAAAAAAAAACATTGCCTATCTTTAGCAGCATACACCCTTAAACAAAGACACCAGGGCTCTCTTGTTCACAACTTAATGAAAAGAAAATTCATGTAATCTGCTAAATATTAATAATTTTTCTTTGAAATGTGAAAATGTAAAATAAAACTATATTTTCTAAGTTAAGTCCACTTTGACATGGTCTATTTTTTTAAATATTTTTCTTTATTGCTTTTATTTTATGTGTATGCATGTATTGCCTGCATGTATGTGAGTACACCTGTGTCATGCAATGCCCACAGAGGACAGATCCCCTGGAACTGGAGTTACAGACAGTTATTAGTTGCCATGTGGGTGCTGGGATTTGAACCCGGATCTTCTGGAAGAACAACCAGTGTTCTTAACTGCTGAGCCATCTCTCCAGCCCCGACATGGTCTATTTTTAATATGGTATTTTACTATTGCAATAAAATTGAATATTTTTCAAAATAATAAGCAGCGGTTGCCATAGCAACAATGCAATTTCTCTTGAAACAACCTATAAGCATATTAATTCTCTAAAAATTTATCTTATACACTATGGAACTCTTGAATATTTTTGTATTTTCTCTCATAATAGCACTATAATGCAAAATATTAACATACATCTAACTTCTACTTAATTAAATTTTTATAGGAAGACTTGCAATTATTGCTATTTTCATACATTAATCACAACAAAATGGTAATTTATATTTCAATCCAAAGGACAGTCTGAAAATTTTACTATGCATTTATCTAGTCAGACATGATGGCTCAGGCTATAATTTTAGCTACTTGGAAAGCTGAGTCAGGAGTATCACAAGTTCAAGGCCAGCTTGGGCAATTTAATGAGATTCTGTCTCAAAACAAAATGTAAAGAGAGCTAGGAATATAGCTAAAAGATAGAACAGCATGCAGGAGGGTCTAGGTTCCATCCCTAATACTAAAAAAACAATGATCACCTAAAATCAAAATAGAAAATAAAGGCCTTTGGTCAACGTACAATTGTAGCTATCTTTACAAGTTATATTTATTTATTTATTTTTTTGGTCTTTTTGAGACAGGATCTCCCTGTAGCCCCAGCTGTCCTGGAACTCACTATGTAGACCAGACTGGCCTTGAACTCACAGATATCTGCCTGCATCTGCCTCCCGAGTGCTGGGATTAAAGGCGTGCACCACCACGCCACACCGGGCCTTATGTTTTAATATCAACATCAATCTTATCCTGAGAATTTTGTAATGCAAAAATGTTCACAGTGTAAGTGATGGAGTAGAGCTCTACAAGAAACGAAGCAGGAAAAAACTCACAGGAAAGCATAATTACAATATAAATAGATCTTACTCTTTGCAGTCCTTCATACCAATCATCTTGCTCAAACCAGTGTGAAAGGTAAGTCATCCAAGCCATAGACTGTCTGCACTTTAATCAAGTCACTTGGAGAACAGTCAGCACCTAAAGTAATAATAATGTGTTTCAACCAAACAAGCTTCTCCAGGATCTCCTCATGAAATTACGTTCAGTACAAGAGCTTGTATGAACGTTTCAATGGAAACAGTTCTAATAACTTCTAAATATACGTTGGAAGAATGCTAAGCTAAAACATACAAGCCTATATTCAAATAGCAAAAACTCAAATAATATTAAATTGTGTAGTTCCAGAGATCAGTATCAAATACTAGACTTTAAGTTCACATCTTAGACTTAACTATTTCAAGAAACAATCAAATGATCTCTAAAAGTTAAGAGGATTTTAATTTTTTAATTCAGAAAAATAACAAACAGGCAGCAGAATATGTCAGCCATGTATTTCTGTTTGTTTCTATCTCAATGCTCAAGCATTAAATCATTTTACAGTTAGTGGAGTACTAATCTGGTTATTGCTTCCAAAATTTAAAGATCCTGTATTATAATATAGTATTAATGTGTTCAACAGAGAATGAAAGTCATACCAATTTAATTTTAGTTCGGTTTTATTCACATCTGGAAGTTAATCACGGGGGAGAGAGAGAGAGAGAGAGAGAGAGAGAGAGAGAGAGAGAGAGAGAGAGAGGAGAGAGAAGAGAGAGGGGACAGAGACAGAGAAAGAGATTGATTCTCTATTTGAGTGCTTTCTCCTTCACATCAAAAGGATAAAGACAGTGTGGAAAGTTATGCTAGGGTGAAAGGTCACCAACACTAGCTAGCTTAGAACAGCCTTACACCTAGTGCGATCATTATTACCAGAAGTATTTTCATTAATATTTGCTACTAATTTCAGTTCACACAGCCTAGGCATAGGTCCTTGCTTCTACAGGGAGCTTCACGTATGATAGTGTATCTTGTCTTGAACCACTACCTCTTGATGGCTTCCCTGAACCTGGACCAAGGCTCTTCTGTCCTGCCTTGTGCTCACAGAATCATTTATTCCTCCTGGTCTCCTCAGAGTTTCAATCTTTTGCCTTCTCATACTCTCTTCATTGTCCTCTCTCTTGCTATGTTATTTTGACTTGCAGTGTTTAACCTAGCCTTCCCTATGACTTTTATCCTACCTTGAATGTATATCTAGCACCATCGCTTCGCTGATTCTAATACCTCTTAGTATATGGAAACTGCCCCACCTATGCCAATCTCAGTAATTTCATTTTAAGCTTCCCACTAATCCTATGGTCTTGGACTTGTACCTGGCCATCTCAATATTAATATATTTTAAAACCAACCTGGGGACTGGAGAGATGGCTTGGCGGTTAAGAGTACATGCTGCTCTTGCAAAGGACCTGGGCTCTGTTCCCACCACTCACATAAGGGCTCACAACCACTTATACCTGATGTCCTCTTCTGGCCTCTGTGGGCATGAAGCACACGTGTTGCACGTGCACACATGTAGGCAATCACACATACACATAAAATTAAAATTAAAAGTAGAAATTAACCTGTCTGTTTCAAGGGAGGTTTCCTTTCTACCACCAGCAAACATGTTTTTCTTCTATATTCCTCACTTGAATCACTATCATCATTACTCTAGAAAGCTGTCTTTGACTTTTCATTAATGTCCCTTCCCATTACATATGATCAACAAGGTTTATCAAATTACCTCTACAAAGCCCTTTTCACCACCTTAACACCATTGCTTTGAATGAAACTACTGTTAATGATGTCTGGTAAAAACTGCTGAGATAATTTAATTGCCCCCTGATTTGTTTTCAATTCCCAAACATGAATCAATCTTTATTCACTGGAGCTTTTAAAAAATACCTTACTTATTATTTTTATTTTATGTGTATGAGTGTTTTGCCTGCATGTATGTAAACACACCCATGTTGTGCAATGCCCACTGAGACCAGAAGACCGCATTAGATCCCCTGGAACTGGAGTTATGGATAGTTGTTAGCCACCATGTGAAAGCTAGGATTTGAATCTGGGTCCTCTGGAAGGGCAGCAAGTGCTCTTAACTGCTGAGCCATCTCTCCAGCCTCTCATTGAAGTTTTTAAATACTTTTGTCTGGGATGTACTTTCCTCCAATCTTTAACTGTGACTAATGAAGCTCTTTCATTTTTCAAGGACCAGTTTAAATATTTATAATTTTTGAAGCCTTTCTCGAATCATCAAAATTCCTCATATCCATACCTTAATATGTATATTTTAAGGACTGGATGGTGATTATTTGTATGGATATAAACTCTGAGTTCCCCAAAGCAAAGAATCATGTCTATCCATCCTTGTTAAATGTTTGCCTAGTGAATTGGCCCACGCACTGCTTGGGTAGTCTGCCATCTAGTGGTAGTATATATGAATGAAAGGCACATATGAACCATATGAAGGAAAGGATAGGAAGGAATGAGGTCACGTGAAATGGGAGAATAATCATTTAGTAATTATTGTCCATTTTATTGTAGGTAAGAGATTAACCACGTTACTGAGAAAAAAGTTTTTGAGGTTAAAATACAAACTAAGGTTGGAGAATATATTTTGCAGTAATGTCAAGTACCAATTGTGTTTTATGTGTTTATAAACTCAATGTAGTTAAAGTAGTACGTTTTCTCTGGGCTACATAATAACTATTTTTCTTTATTTCCTTATACGTTTTCAAAAACAGTCACTAATTTTTTTTGTAAAGGTTAATTTTAACTTTAATTAATGTATGTGTCTGTGTATGTGGATGTGAGGGCAGGTGCCTGCAGCATATATAAAAAAAGGTGTCAGATCCCCTGAAACTAGAGTTACATGTGGCTGTGAGCTGCCCAATGTGCATGCTGGGAACTGAACCCAGGTTCTCTGCAAGAACAGCAAATGTGCTTAACCACTGAGCCATCTCTCCAGACCTACTATTTAATATGATTTACAAGAATTAAAAGAAAACTTTTTCTTGCTGTGCCATAGCAGATTATATGTTAAAATTTGTTTGTTGATTTCCATGTATTTTGATTCTAATAAATAGTGTTCTTCCTATACATTCCTAGGATGCAGAGTTGAAATCCTTAGCTGACCTCAGTGAGAAAATTTGCCATGGATCACTCAGCAGTAACTAGGACAAGAAGGAAAAAGTCAGGACAGAATTGATTCTGTGTATTTGCATCTCAGTATCTATGACCATGTACATAAATGACTCATATTTCATTAAAATCACAAATATTAACAATTCATGTCAGGAAATTATTACCACATATTATAATTATTAATGGGAGGGGATGACAAAACAAAATGCTAAATGTTACCAGAAAAATAAAGACAATGGAGTATAACAATGAAATAAAATATTATTACAGAAATAAAATACCCAAACATATAGGAAATCTGTGGTTTGGCTATGACTCCTTATTTTCATATATTTCTCTATGCATCTTTATCTTTCCATAACTTAAGGGTGCATTACCCTTCCCTGTCCTATTGACTTTGGGATTGCCATGCAACTTGCTTTGCTCAGTGAAGTGTGGGCAAAAAGGCACATTGTTGTTTTCATTGCAAGCCCTGACTGTGGGACTCTTTCATTTATGCCTTTGCATTTAAAATAAATAAATAAATAAATAAATAAATAACATTCTGCTTAGTCTAAAGTTTGGCCTCCATCATTTCTGCTTTGATTTTACCATTAGATTTTTTTCTGTCCAGTTTTACTTGATATCTCAGACCCAAATATTAACTTACTCCTCTGATATTTTGCTATTTGCAGGCTATCATTTGTAGCCTAGTAACTTTCTCCCCTCCAAGTTGTATTTTCTTACTTACTATGATAAAAGTACAATTAATTTCAAAAGGGTAAGTGTTAAGTACAATATTCATTTGGAATAAGTATAAGGGCCAGGCACAAATTAGGGTGCATCCACTTGTATGAGCTTCCCCACAAGCTTCAACTGCAGGCTTAGAAGGAAGACTCTAGGAGAATCTGAGAGGTCACCTTGGTGGCTCAAATTTGTAGTAGACAACCAGCAACTGATATTGATAGACCTGAAATACTGCATGCTTTCCAGAATCTTCCATTCACTGACTAACAGTTCTTCAGCTGGAGAAAAGCAAGAAACCAATACCCTCACTCCTAAATATCTCTCCATTGGTCTTTCTTTCTTTCTTTCTTTCTTTCTTTCTTTCTTTCTTTCTTTTTTCAGGAAACTGTCTTAAGGCTCATTCTCTATGAAAATAAAACATGAGTTTGTCATTGCTGGAGGAGGTACAAGAAAACCTCTCCTACTGAATACCACTAGGCATCCTAGAGTCTGGATGCCACAGAAGGGCATGTGAGTGTGGTGTGTGTTTGGGGGTGGGAGGGAAGCTACATAAATCCTCCTAAGAGTCTGATCTGGGATATGAACACTGTAGTCCAATCCAACAACTGATATCCTACATATTGTTTAAAATGAAACATGCTACTAATGAATTGTCATACCTTGACAGCAACTGCATAAATAATTATAATTTTGTCTTCATTATCAAAGAAACGTTTACTGGGTTTCTCATCTTTTTCTCAGCTCTCAAAAATCTCAGTCCATTGCTATTCATGCCTGAATATTCATCTCCTGAAAATTTCAGCAAAATTCCTTATTAGAACTACTAAAAATTTCTAATCTAAAAATAAAAAGACTTGCATCAGAGTAATTTAGAAAGTTTACAATGTGCAGAACATCTGATAGTACATCATAAATTGAGTACTTTTAGTAATTTTTTTTGTCTTTTTTTTTTTGAGACAGGGTCTCCCTGTAGCCCCAGCTGTCTGGAGCTCACTATGTAGACCAGGCCAGCCTTGAACTCACAGAGATCCGCCTGCCTCTGCCTCCCAAGTGCTGGTATTAAAGTCATGTGCTACCACTCCCAGCCTACTTTTAGTATTTTTAATACTATAAAATGATGTTCAAAGTTAACTGCTATTTAATATTATTTCATTTTCCAAGGAAATTTATTTTGAGTACTTGCTAACGACACTATACTTATAAGAACTCTAAATTCAATCTCTACTAAAATTCACAGTAAAGCATTTACTTTT